GTAACAGGACAGTCCATAATCAGTAATGGGTTGCATAGTCAGCAAAGTGCCCAATGCACGTTGGTCTTCTGTTCATTTTTCCTGATGCACATTTATGTAAAGTTATATAACTGAACAGTTCCTATAGGATTCTAGCAGAGTTTTTTCATTCAACTTAAAGATGTTGTCAAAGCTTGGATCTGTTAACTTTTTAAAAAATATATAAAGAGGTCTCCAAAAGCTTTATAGATGAATATGGTTTATTTGGTCCAATTCAGTCCCTTCTCATGTATTTTAGAAATTCAGCCCAGTGGCATTTGATTCAATAGATATATTTGTGGGACTGGCTACCATGTCTCAAAAAGAATATAGCAGAGTAGAAATAGTGTTATAAAGGACAACTGAAATAAGTGAAGACACTGGAGCATTTGATAATGCATATGCAATCCTATTAGACTCATTGGTTGCCATGGTTTCTTGAGATCTAGGCCCCATTCTACACTGCCACATCAAATCCAGGTTATCAGCTTTGAACTGGATTATATGGCAGTATAGACTCAGATAATCCAGTTCAAAGTGGATAATGTGGATTATTTGCTGTGATAGTTTTGGTTATATGGCAATGTAGAAGGGCCCCAAGTATCATTCAACTGACAAGAGTGCTGAACCTGACTTTGGTAGACCTAATTTTAAAATCTCACAGGTGGCCTTACTTTAGTAGTCATTTTTTCCTCAACCTAACCTATTTCATATTGGGCTAGCTTGAACAATAGAACAACCTGTTCAAGAAACAGATGCTGGATGAAAGCAGTGGCGCCTGCCAGACTACTCCTAGAGAACAGAACTATTTCCTAAATTCACCTGATGCTCATGGGTACTTAGGAAGACATTACTTGATGCCTGTCTTAAAATAGGATTCAATGATGGTCCAATTCACTTCTAAACATAGAGGAAGTTTCATTTTTTTCATCTTGAGAGAAGTCTAGTGTCAAGTACAAAAAACATTATTTTCCTCCAGTGGAATCTAATATGTGGAGGAAAACCTTGCAGAAGCTTCAAAATAAACATATTTGCTATATTTTTAATAGAAGTGGGGAAAGTGTAGCACATTTCTTGCATGGATCCCCAATTTTATTTTTGAGCTGCCCTGTGGCAATCACCCATCCCCCCCCCCCAGATGATTCATTTAATCTAAAATGAAAGTCTTGGGACTTAGGGGCTTCAACAAAGTCATAAAGGGCCAAATGTGTCCATTATTTGTCCCACTTTTGAGCTGCTTTTAAAATGTCACAGCCTCTCTTCCATTTCCCCCTTTCTTCTCAACTTATTTCAGTTCATAGTGCAAAAGTAGTTTGCACTCAGTTAACTCAGCAGCAGGGAGAAGAAGAGAATCTTTACTGTTTCCAGTAGGCTCAGGAAAAAGCAAAATATTGTATCTTCTCCTTCTTGGTATGTTCATTCTCAGATTCTTTTACTATTTTGACCTTACTGTCATGTTACTTAGCTGCTTAGTTTTCATCTGTGGAAAAAGAGGGCACGCAGTTACATTGCTTATGAAATCAAACTGCTACATTATCATTAACAGAGAGAAAACATTATAGGTTTAGAGAGAGAGATTATAGAGAAACATTGTATAGAGGGAAATATTATAGTTGTTGTAATTTGTTCCTTCCAAGTGTTGGGGCTTCCCAGGATTATCTGGTTGGCCACTGTATCAAAATGCTAATGATAGGCTATTTGATTTAATGGTACAAGGTTTTCTTATGTTTGAGAAGAAAAAATGTAACATGAGAAATTACTCCAACAGAGCAACGCAAGCCAAGAAACATAAGTAGGTCAAACTGACATTCTTTTCTTTATTTCACTTTCATTTTAGTCAAATTTGCCAAAAGAAGTGTCCAATGAACCTTGGATAGAATATGCCTATACATCAAATTTATTTAATGTGCAAGACATACATCTGTTTTTTTAAAGTTTAGTTATATTTGTGGAAACTCCTCTAGGTCTGTTTAAGAAGTTAAGCTTAGAAACCATAGAACATTTCACTCTATGGCTGGATCTACAGTGCCATATAATACAGATTGGCACAGCATCATATGGCCAGTGTAAACCCATATAATGCAGTTTTAACAGCATTGAACTCCATTATATGGGTCCAAAAGACCATGTAACGCAATTCCAGACTACGCTATATATCATTGTAGATCCAGTTTATATTTCTAAAGGCCATTTCAAACTATATAGTTATTGTACTATGATTGCTCTGCAACTGTCATAGCAACATCTAGTGGAGTCCTAGTGTTTACAGTTCAGTGAGTTGCCTGCAAAAAAACCTAAATGCCCTATCCTTCACTTCAAATCCTAGGATTCTATAGAACATTTTCCATGGCAGCTACAGCAGAGTGATGGCGCTTTATTTGTACAGTATTAAGAGGCCCTATGTCAGTGGTTTTCAACCTTCCTAATGCCATGACCCCTTAATACAGTTCCTCATGTTGTGGTGACCCCCAACCATAAAATTATTTTAATTGCTCCTTCATAACTGTAATTTTGCTACTGTTATGAATCGTAATGTAAATATCTCATATGCAGAATGTATTTTCATTCACTGGACCAAATTTGGCACAAATACCCAATACACCCAAATTTGAATACTGATGGGGTTGGGGCGGGATTGATTTTGTCATTCAGGAATTGTAGTTGCTGCGATTTATAGTTCACCTACAATCAGAGTATTCTGAACTTCACCAACAATGGAATTGAACCAAACTTGGCATACAAAACTCCCATGACCAACAGAAAATACTGGAAGAGTTTGGTGGGCATTGACCTTGAGTTTTGGAGTTGTAGTTCACCTACATCCAGAAAGCACTGTGAATGTGAACAATGATAGACTTGGACCAAACTTGGCATGAATACTTAATATGCCCAAATGTGAACACTGGTGTAGTTTTGGGGAAAATAGTCCTTGATATTTGGGAGTTGTAATTGCTGGGATTTATCATTCACCTATAATTAAAGAGCATTCTGAACTCCATCAGTGATGGAATTGAACCAATCTTGGCACACAGAATTCCCATGCCCAACAAACTACTGGAAGGGTTTGGTGGGCATTTATCTTGAGTTTTGGAGTGTTTCTTCACCTACATACAGAGAGCAAGAGGAGAGTTTTTGGTGGCAGGATTTGCTGTCAGTTTCCAAAAAGTGAAGGACAGGCGGAGAGATCTTCTGCCTTCTCTGCCAAAGGGATACCCAAGACCATATGTGTTTTCTGATGGCCTTTGGTACCCCTATGAAAGCCCCTCACAAGCCTCCTAGAGGTCCCAATCCGCAGGCTGAGAAATGCTGCCCTATGTTCAGTTTTCCCACTTCTCTCTGAGATAATATACATGGTGAGTTTCTGTGTAACAGCTGATGATTAGATGGAGCCAAAATGATTACTGAATATGTTTTAAAACACCAAGCCAAAAAGAACTGGACATCAGAGAAGAGTCTGAATGACAAGTAAAGACTGGAAACGATCTCATTTTATTACAAAGGACTTCCTGAAATATTAAAAAGAAGAAGAAGCAAAGGAATGACCTCTTTTGAAGGATTTTGGCACGATCACGTCTTTTCAGTTCTCATACAACTGAATTTAATTAGATGAAGATGTACCACATGCTGATTTAATATTAGTGGAAAACTTTTATTAAAAAATCATTCCCAACATAAATGCAACTAATTCAGGGAAAAAACTCTAGAATAAGGATAGTTTTAAAGAATTGCAAAAATTATGATTTTTTCTGTATCTTTCTGGTGGGTCTTTTTGCAGTATGTGACCTGTTCACAAAAACTGGATTCATAGGAAAAAATGCTTATTTACTGTTCAAATGTGTTGGCTTTGCAGAAATATATAATCTAATCTGAAATATTTGAAGACCTCAACAAGACAGGGTACAAAAACCCAGCCACTTTCCCATTGAAAATTCAATTCCAGCATTTTCACAAATACTCATAGGATTATACTCTTGTCACATCATGATGTATGTATACAAGGGCACAAGGGTTGTTTGTTTCCCTCATCAAAATAGTTAAAAGCTAAATGACTTTAAATGGTAGAAGCCATAAAAAGCACACCTTTTTTTAGAACTATCATTTCAGAATTTCTACACTAGTAAGAATATTTCCCTCATCCCAGAGTATGTACCAAAGTCCTTCATACAGCTGTACACAGTGACATAAATATGATAAATTTTATTTTTATTGGAAGAATGCCCATATTATGATTCAAAAGCTTACATAATGCAGTATAGGAAGGTTTTGACATGGGATCACTTTTTGATGTGGGAAACAAGTGAATAAACTTTGATGAGGGAAGAAAACAACCCCTGTTCCTTGTATACATATATCATGGTGTCCTTAGCTGTAGCTATTTCACAGAGCTCTTGTGATGCCATACCAGCTGTTAGGAATTGTTGAAGTCCAAAACATCTGGAGGGCTCAAGTTTGCCCATGCCTGGGCTATACTACAGTTTGGAGGGTGAGTTAAATGCATATGCAGTAAATACTGTTTGACATCACAATTTGGTTATGTTTCTTCAGAAGGAACTCAACTGAAATTTGTTTTCTAGTCAATTGTTTAGGATTGCAGCCTCAATTAGTTGATTCACCTTAAAGTTTGGTTAATCAGGTTGGGGGTAATAAATATGGAGCAACCAATTGGGTTATACAAGGAGGGAAAGCTTTGCCCCACTAATACTCTTTATTTATTTACTTTGTTTTTAATCCCGCCTTCTCTCCCTGGTTGAGGGACTCAGAGTGGCTCACATACGGCACCCATTTGATGCCATTCAACAAAACCCACATCATATACAACATACGTTATTAATAATACATAGAAAATTTATATAACTTACCTAAAAATACTAATACAAGATAAGACAATTGTTTCTTTCTCATGCTTTCTCCAGTATGACTCATATGTTTGAACTCCTCCCTTCTTTGAGTCTTATAGAACTAAAGAATTTGTATTTTTCCAGGTGTGGGATGAAAACTTAGCTAAGTCAGCTGAAGCATGGGCTGCTACCTGCATTTGGGACCATGGCCCTTCCTACTTATTGAGATTCCTTGGACAAAATCTGTCTGTTCGCACTGGAAGGTAGGCTATTAACTTCCATTTAATGAATTCTGAGCACTCTCAGATCTATATGAACTTAGAATGGGATTCATATATTTCATTTTCATAGGCACAAAAAATGTTAACACATTTTCTTGCTGTGGGGAAATAAATGAAAACTGCACTATTTTGGAAGATTGCAATTTGGTTTTTGTGGTATAAACAGAATTTTCTGCACAGAAAACTCAATTTTCTGTTGTATTCTGTACATAAAATTTATTTTATTCACAGAAAACAATGTCTTCTGTGCACAAAGTGCCATTTTCTGCATTGAAAAATATGTTTTTGACATTGAATGAGTTCCAAGTGGTGACCATTTTTGCCCATATATGATTCTTTTAAGTACTTGATAAATTTACTATTTAACAATTAATTGAATATTTTTCAAGCAAATTCTAGTTGTATTTGTACAAAGAAAAAATAATTTCTTTTCAGTTATTGTTAAGTCTATACATGCTTTTATATTTTATTGTATTGGTATTTTGAAATAAGTAGCTAATGGTACTTACACACTCTTTCTCTCCCCCCCCCCTTTTAAAAAAATCTCTAATACTGAAGACAGTGAACTCAAAACATTATTAGGGTCAGTTTATGAAGATTGCGCTCTGTTTTTCAAGCCACCACGATCATTGAAATGGTAGTGCCAGTCACTTTTTCAATTAAATGTTCTCTTGTGTGCATAGTTTAATTTATTTTTTACATAGAAAAAATAATGATGGCTTAATCTATATATTATGTGTACATCAATAATATTGAAGATTCCCCCACACTTCTGATTATATACCTAGATATCGATCCATTCTCCAGCTTGTGAAGCCATGGTATGATGAAGTGAAAGACTATGCCTTTCCCTATCCCCAGGATTGTAATCCAAGATGTCCTATGAGATGCTATGGGCCAATGTGCACACATTATACCCAGGTAATAAGACTTCGGTTTCTCCTGTATCATGTTTTCACTTAAACCCAGACCTCCTGGGCTAAGAAGTATTGTTTTTATAATATGGTTTTTAATAAAAGAGTATTACTGTTTCTCTAGATGGTTTGGGCTACTTCCAATCGAATTGGCTGTGCAATCCAGACATGCCACAACATGAATGTCTGGGGCGCAGTTTGGCGGCGAGCTGTTTACTTGGTATGCAACTATGCACCAAAGTAAGTAGTTCTGTTTCTGTTCACCTGATTTTACATGTCGAGTCAGCACACATTCCATCTGCTTGTGCTGGGGTTAATAAATTTTAGGTCTTGGGCATGATTCTGTCTTTGTGTTTCTCTTAATTCGTTAGGCTTAGAAGTTTTAACCATGGTGAATGTTTAATGTAATATGGGCAATGGCTTCACCGGAGACTACTCTTTATAATAAGACTCTAGGAATGTCACCAGGGCCTGCCCATCTCCTTTTACACCCCAAGGAGATGTCCCTAGGTTTTGGATTTTGCCCTAAAATCTCAGGGCCTGCAGTAGTCCCTATCTGGCAACTTGTCATCTAAATGCATTTTTGTAAGACTGTGTGCATTTAAAAGTACCAGCAAATATATATGGAAAGATGTTGAGATGTGAGCCCAACAGCATCTGGGGAGCTACATGTTCCCCAGTCCTACAATACCACAAGGCCTGTCATGCTAACAGTTGTGTATTTTCACCAATGTAAGGTGATATTCAATGCTGACTCTGCACAATCACTCATGTAGTGGTCTGTACAGCTAGAATGATAACTTTTTACTAAACTAGTTTCACAAATTCTTTGCATAACTGCTTGCCCAAAGTTGTATTGCAGCACAAGTGTGTATTTTCACTCTCCTATGATTGCATTGCATTTAGGTCTTGATGTTTTCCTCTTGACTGTTTGCACATATTTACCCTATAAATCTAAATCAATGCATTTGGTAAAACCCAGTAAGAATGTAATGGCTTTTATACCAACTTGAGTCTATAGAATGGAGACAGGGTAAATAATTATCATAAAAGCCAGAATTCTGGTACTTCGCATTTTGGAACATGTGCTATTTAATTATGTAATAATCTAATTATATCATTAAATAGCACATGTTGCAAAATTCTAAGTCTCAGATTTCTGGCTTTTATGATAATTATATAATAACCTAAGGAGCCACGGTGGTGCAATGGCTTAAACCCTTGTGCTGGCTGAACTGCTGACCTGAAGGTTAGCCGTTGAAATCCGTGAGACAGGGTGAGCTCCCATATGTCAGCTCCAGCTTTCCATGTGGGGACATGAGAGAAGCCTCCCACAGGATGGTAACACATCTGGTCATCCCCTGGGCAATATCTCTGCAAACGGTCAATTCTCTCACACCAGAAGTGACTTACAGTTTCTCAAGTCACTTCTGACACAAGAAAAAACTGTAATATTAGTTGTGTAACTAAATGGTATGTTATGGTGAGATCCCATTTTCAAACTTACTTTATTGTGCATCAGCTACACAGAGAGAAAGGAGCCTGTTCAATTGGAAATTGGGCTGATGATGTTTCTACCCCTCTCTCACCAGCCAGCAAAGTTGCAAAAAGCAAATGTGTAGGGATAGGATCCCATTTCTGATTATTAAAGTCTTGCTGGCTGCCAGGGGAAGGGTGGAAATGTTTTCATCCACGTCCTGGTTGCAAGCACAATGGGACCTCTTGTTTCCCCAGGAGGGAGGCCTGGTAAAGTATGTTGTTGGCGGGGGCACTGTTATAATTGTGGCAATAGTGCCACAACTGTGACTACATAGTAATCATGAATGCATATCTGCTATGGTTATACATTTATAAGTCTTATCCTGAATTGCAGCCATCAGAATTGTCAGCATGGCTTAAGGATCTAGGATTGACTATTAAAGAATAGATAGCAAAACGTTTTTCAATACCATTTTTTTAAAATACATTTTTCTAAATTTAATTTACTATGAATCTGCCAGGCATAGGAAGAAGCAATAGTTATGAAATGTATGAAAATCACCATAGGAGTTTCTATCACCACTGGACGGTCTCCTCTTCTACCTCCTCCTCCTTCTATCTCAGATTTCTTAAAGATTTGCCTATAAACTTCAACTGTACATTCACAAGCATAGATGCTAAAAACTCCAGTGGCTATAACCCTATATAAAAGCATAGAGCATAATATTGGAGAGAAAACTTATTTCTTTCTTCCTGACTGCAGTGCTGGAATGGATGCTGCCTAGTCAACTCTCCACCACCAGTAAATGGCAATGGATTGTGTTTTGGAACATTATGAGGGAGCTAGTAAATATCCAAAAGCCATATATGTCCACCCAAATCCAAGTTGTGTCTTTTTTTGTGGCAAATCATAGGAAAATGTCAGGCCTACACGTAGCATATGGAAAAATTAAGGCTTGGTCAGAACAAATTGATAGCACTCAATTTTTCTTCTTCTAAGCACTAACGATATGCGGTTTTTTTCTCTTCAGGGGTAATTGGATTGGAGAAGCACCATATAAAGTAGGAGTGCCATGTTCTGCTTGTCCCCCCAGTTATGGAGGTTCTTGCACTAACAATCTATGCTTTCCGGGAGTGACATCAAATCATTTATATTGGTTTAAGTAAAGTTGTGCAACATTTTAATAACTGCTTATATCATTTGATATGAGTATGTAACAGTATTTTGTATATTGAAATTTGCACATATTGTATGTATGTATATATTTATGTATATTGTAATTATTATTTTAGTGTGCTTTGTGTAATTGTTTGAATGGATTGTCTCAGCTTCAAACACTTCAGTTCAACAGGGCAAGGAATTAAATGAATACCATGTAACTATATGCAATTCTTCTGACAAACATGAGAAAAAAGTGCCAGATCTGGCTATGCAGAACAGTATTATCTCTGGGTTATTTTTCTATGCTTATTATTCCACAGAATGAATGCAAAGTATTATATTAAAAGAAATAACATAGAATGCTTCCAGACAGGGCTTAAACCCACGATGAACCCGCTTCATTATGGATTTAAGTCCCCACTCCCAGGTCTAATGGGGTCCCAAATTCTGTTTTACCAGAGGTGTTGTTTGGATGCCTCTGGTGAAAGTTTGACAGGGCCTGCATTTGGGGCCCTGTCTGGAAGGGCCCATAGATGTCTTATCTTCAGAAATGGCCATTGCTCCTCAGATATTTTAGTAAGTAGGAAAAAATTACAATGATGTTTCTTGTTCAAGAATCTATACTGTTAGGGAACCAAAGTCCATGTTTGTATTTTCCCTTACACATATATGTACAGATCTGCAGATTGGCTGTAACTCTGATGGTAGATTAAAGCTGCTGCTTCTGCTGCTATTACTAAAATAACATCCTAGATACAAGAGAGAAGCAGAGCTACCTGGCTGCATTCTTTTTGACATAGTTTGTCCTCTCTCTTGTTAGTATTGCCTGGGGCTATATAGTCCAGGGTGCTGTGTTGTGGACTATTTGCCCTCTTGAAATGGTGCTCTCTGCTGCTAGAATAAGGCAGATCCCAGGGTTTTCTCAGTAGCATGAAATTGGGCTCTTAAGTTCTTTCAGAGCACATATAAATGATGTGTCACCTATATTGTTTGGATTTGATGTCTCTCGCTTGCTAACAGAGCACTTAACTGCTGATAATAACAATATTGTAATACATGGACAGAGCCCATAGCATACCTAATTCTCAGAATGGGGCTGGGAGCAGGACCCACCTCCCTAGTGTTTTCATTTGGAAGATAATATGCGTATCTCTAGTGTATGGTGTTTGACTGCAGTTTCTTCATCCTCAATGGGGGTGGTTGGATTAAGCTGGCTAAAAAATTATAGGAGTTATACTCCAACAATACTGAGAAAGTCACGTTTTCTCCTTCATGATTTGCCTGATGCAAAAATAATGTAAAGTGGCTTGAGAGTCATTGCCACTTGAAGATTCAGTAATGCAATAATAAAAGGGACACATGCAGTCACTTAAAAGAAAAAAAATATTGGGAGTTTTGTGATTGGCCTACATAACAGTTTGAAACTGGATGGATTTTTTTTAATGTGGTGCATGTTTTGCTGGAGGACCTGCTCCTGTGATGCTAAATGAAAACATTTCACGTGGTTAGTATTGTCCATGAACATCCAAGTACAACCCTCCCTGGAGTCAGACCCTGTGGGAGACTGGGGGCTGCAGTGACACCCAGGAGGCTTTGGAGCGGTGCAACCAAACTGAGGGCAAGGAGGTATTTTGCCATGTTTCTTGCCCTCCCTGGACTGGTTCAGACTCTGGACGGGCCTTTCTTTAACACCACAAAATAACTTATGTTTAAGGTCTCCTTTTCAAAAAAAGGTCTTTCTTTGTTAAATTGGTCCTGTCTCTCACCCTCAACATGGCAAATATACCCCCACACTCCCTAGAGGACACACTTTCCTGTCTTGTGCCTTATTTCTACCCTCATATCTGTGCTTCAGAATCATCAACTAAATGTATTCCATGACTAAGTAACAACATATTCAGCATGTTGACAGAACTCATATCCAAACCAAAATATAAATTTCCCCTCAGACTGACCTAGTGCTAGAGATGCCAAAATTAAATTTGGAGAGGGCTTTTGTACCTTTAATTGTTTATAGAAATGGGCATTAACACCAGGTATTGCTTGTTAGCTGGTTGCATGACAATCAACAATGGTTGAAATTCTTGCATTTACACAAACATTAAAGGTAAACATCTCTAGTTTTCCATCTGGCAACCCATCTTAAGAGAAAAGTGGGATATAAATAAATAAATACTGACTTGGTGTTATAAGCTAGTGGTGAAATAAGCTCATTTTACATGATGTCATGTCTATGGATGCTGGTACGAATGACAAGCAAACAGCAGCTCTTATATATTTTAATATGTTTTTTTAAAAGTCATTACATTAAAAGCATAAAAACTGGCAGAAGGACCAGTTTGCTTTCTAAACAGATCTAGTAATTGTAAATACATGATTCTGTACTGTTGCTTGAAGAATTATGAAAAATAGATATATAATGTATGCATAAACATATATGTTATTGTTTACTCTCCTTCTCTTACATTGCAATGAGTAAGTTGCTTTTTTTTGGAATATTGTTTTTAACATTACATGCAGTGATTCTTCCATCAGCAAACGGGTACACAGGTGTCATCATAGCATACAACACAATGGCAGCCCATGGCCCAAGCAGAGAGGGTTGCCGCATTCCACCATTTTGGGCTGAAGACCCCTCTTCCCTTTGTGCTCTGGCTGTGGCACTAATAAAACACTGGTGTACTTGGAAACTAAAAACTTTTTAAATTCCTTTTAATGAATCCTGAGGTTAACTAGTATAAATATACTGTTGATCAGAAGAAGTAAGAAACACATATAACCAGGCCTGTAGCGAGGGGGGGGGGGTTAGGGGTTCAACCCCCCCCCCAAAATGTTTCAGATTTAAAAAAAAACCTGGTTTACTCATTAATTTTAACTGGTTAACCAAATCCCCATGCTAAGTCTATGAGATGCAAAAAATTAAGTGTCCCTCCAGAACTGCAAGCACTATCTCAAGCAAATATTGACAATTTATTCACACTGTCATTACTTGCAGCAATAGCCGATGTAGCGAAGCAACCAAGTTGGGTGTGTGTGTGTTGAATGCTCTCATTAAGGAGGCCAGACTTGGTGGAGGTGGTTGACAGGGGCAGAGCTGCAGGCTATTGAAGGCTGCTCTGCCCCCTGCTATGCTCTTTGCTTCAGCGTGAGCTAGGAGGCAGGTTTCAACCCCCCCCCGGTGAAATTTTCAGCACCCCCCCCCCAAAATTTCAACTTCTCCCGAAATTTTTTTCTGGCTACGGCCCTGCATATGACATAAGCTATTTCATGTGAGCAGCTTCTTTTTAATCAGCCAGCAAGGTTCAACCGATGGCTTTTCATATAATACTTGGTTTATGTGACTGTATGGTAATCTTGCTGTCATCATCATTAAAAATTCTCATTTTTACCCAAACTCCTGTAGTACTTATCAGTCATTGGTAACTACCACCTTTTGTGTCATAAGAGTTCTGCTGCAAACTTTTGTCCAAACATTTCAAGATTTGGCCATGTTTCTGACCCTATTGATGAACAGAGTACAGATGACAGTAACACCTTTGATAACTCCTGTAATTCAGAGTAAAATGCAGAGAACATTGTTTTTTATTTGCTTTCAGTTGACCTGGAAATTTCTAGCCATTGCTTCTGTCATATTTTTGTTGGTTTATGTCAATGGTTTTAATGTTCCTTGGGTAGTGTCTTACTGGTTTGACCACTAAACAATGTGAAATTCTTTTCTTAGCATCTCTCCAGAATTGGTGGCCCATCCAAGTGTCCTATCAGATTGCAAGACTTTACTTCCTTTTCTTCCTACATACAAATTTGTGAATATCTTTTCTACATTTTTCTACATTTATTCATTTTATTGACTAAACAGTTTCAATAAAAACATAGGCATTATTAGTCATCAAGCACCTCTGTGGATGTATCATTCAAAAAAGAAAGAGGGAAACCAAATCAAAAACAATTGTCTAAGTGTGGTAATTTTATCCAGATTTCAGGGAACTAAAACATGTTCAAGCAACACATACTCTTTCATTAGTAATTTTATAGCCCATAACTGAATAAATTTAAAATACAATTAATCTATATCTCCCCCCCCCCCCCAATGATGAGCTATTTTCATATCCAGATGTTTTGGCCTTCAACTCCCAGAAGTCCTAACAGCTGGTAAAATGGCTGAGAGTTCTGGGAGTTGTAGGCTAATACACTCGGCGACCCACAGGTTGAGAACCACTGCTTTAGCATGTCTGGGTTTAGATGTCTGGGTTCTCTGGGGGAATTAAGTGGCAATTCCTAAGTAAACAAATTTATGCAGAACATGTTCCTTAAATGTAGGAAGTTTAAAATTTACCAGTTTACATAGAAGTAAAACTGGGGCCCCTTCTACAATGCCATATAATGCAGATTATCAAAGCAGAAAGTCCACATTATTTGCTTTGAAGTGGATTATATGAGTCTATACTGCCATAATCTAGTTCAAAACAGATAATCTGAATTTTATATGGCTGTGTAGAAGAGACCTAAGAATATTACCCAAAGATACGTATCAAAGCTACTTGATAGTGCTTATCAGTGATAATTTGAGAATATTGGCTAACCTAAGGAAGATAATTCTAGATCAACCTTTGTCAAATTTATATTATAGTTTTAGATTACTGTTTCAATTGGGCACAACCTCAAATGCATAAAATACAATGTTAGAACAGAACACATCTGGACATAAGAATGTGCAAAGATTCCTAAAGTGGGGATATCATAATGTCTGAGAAATCTTATCATGATGTCCTTAAATCAATTCACTGGAATTGTTCTCCCCCACCCCCATTTCCTTATTTTCATTATTACAGGATTTTTGCACAGGTTGGGTTTAGTGTCAGAACCAGTTGACAACTCTCACAAGCTTCCTGATTAATATAGATATGTCATTGAACTAATTGATCCATTAAAGTTTGGAGGGCAAAAGTTTCTGTAACTCTGATTTAATTTTCTGCCCAAATATGGGTTATATCATTGAAAGAAGGTGATTTTCAAACAGATTGTATGCTTCATTGTATTTCTTCTTTATTTATAGAACAAAAATGTCTTGGTTCTTGTGGGTTTTTTCGGGCTATATGGCCATGTTCTAGAGGCATTTCTCCTGACGTTTCGCCTGCATCAAAAATGTCTTGTTTCATATATCTGTTAACTTTATTCTAACTGTTCCTTCACATCAAGATTACCAGAAAACATTTTTCATTGTTCAATATGGGTGCTGCAAACATTAAACTTACTTTTTCATGTAATTAAAATTGTATTAAATTTGCATAAAACTTATTATGCATATTCTGGTATGTTTTCTATTCTTGAGCTTGTGAAACCATTTCAGTGTAGAGATTATTTTGAGTGTTTCTATAAGACTAAATCATTTAAATAAAAATTAAAATGAGCACTGTTTTATTGGTTTCATTTTTCCTCTCCCCACCCCATAAATTTGGGCAAAACTGTATCTGTTCTGTGATTGAGCTTTTAACTCAAATCGTTTTTGTCTCAACGCAGAATTTTGCACTGAAATGCTATTAATCCGTTCTGGCCCCCCGAAAATCACACCAATTTTTGATACAGGTTTTAATTAAGAAAATGTACTTTATGAATAACGAATAATGTATAAAATGTACTTTTAAGAAAACAAAAATCATTACCCTTCCAAACCAGATAGACAGGAACTGATGGGAGATTGTCTTCCCTCCTCACCAATTCTCTGCTTCTTCCATCAACTCAGCTCTCTTTCTCATCCTGATCTTGGATTCTAAGCTGGGCCAGCCCTGGTTTAGACTTGGGTGGGAGACTGCACAAGAGTCCCAGGTGCAGGAGGAGGCAGTATTTCAAAGGAAGGAACTGACAAACACCAGCCCAGTGAAATCTGCTTGAAAGAAAAAGTTGAAAGCACATCCAGAAAAACTAGGTCCAGTGTTCCCTGCCTTGAATCCTTCTCTGTTCCGTCTGGCTTGTGGGTATCTATTCTTTCTTTGGGGAGGAGGAGTCCCTGCTTGGTTACCATTTTGGAGATGAAGAGCCCCCCCCCCCCCCGGGGTGAGAAAGGCGGTATATAAATACCATAAATAAAATAAATAAAATAAAGTTTCAGGGAGACAGTGTGGCACAGTGATTTGAGCACTAGACCATGACTCTGGAGATCAGGGATTGAAGCCTTTCTCAGCCTTTCTCAGCTATCAAACCTTATTTATTTATTTATTTATTTACCACATTTATCTCCACCCTTCTTAGCCCTGAAGGGGATTCAGGGCAGTTTTACAAAGGCAACATTTAATGCCATATATTAATACATCGGTAAATAAACAAAAACATTAAAACCAAACCCACTTAAAAAATAGCATTAAATCATCAATTAAAACCACATGATCCAAATTGTATTCCAGGGTTGGTCTTGTTCATTTGTTCAGTCGCTTCTAATTCTTCGTGACCTCATGAACCAGCCCACGCCAGAGCTCCCTGTTGGCCGTCATCACCCCTCAGCTCTTTCAAGGTCAAGCCAGTCACTTCAAGGATGCCCTCCATCCATCCATCTTGCCCTTGGTCGGCCCCTCTTCCCCTTTCCTTCCATTTTCCCCAGCATAATTGTCTTCTCTAAGCTTTCCTGTCTTCTCATTATGTGGCCAAAATACTTGATCTTTGCCTCTGATATCCTTCCCTCCAGTGAGCAGTCGGGCTTTATTTCCTGAAGTATGGACTAGTTGGATCTTCTCACAGTCCAAGGCACTCTCAGAACTTTCCTCCAACACCACAATTCAAAAGCATCTATCTTCCTTCACTCAGCCTTTCCCTATAGTCCAGCTCGCACATCCATAGGTGACTATGGGGAATACCATTTAGCAACACTTTAGAAGCCAAGCACCAGTGCCCCCTAGTTTTGTAAGTACTTTAGAACCATGGATTGCCCATGCCCATGTCTATCTTCCTTTGCTCAGCCTTCCTTATAGTCCAGCTCTCACATCCATAGGTTACTATGGGAAATACCATTGCTGTAACTATGCAGGCCTTTGTTGCCAGTGTGATGTCTCTACTCTTCACTATTTTATCGAGATTGGTCATTGCTCTCCTCCCAAGAAGTAAGCATCTTCTGATTTCCTGGCTGCAATCTGCATCTGCAGTAAGAGGGCCGGTCTAAGTAGTTATTATATTAAAATGTAATCTCATATTGCACTACTCCCATTACTGGCTGAAAGCTTCATCCCAGAGCCATGTTTTCAGTTTTTTTCCTGAAGGTCAGGAGGGATGGGGCAGATCTAATTTCACTATGGAGGGAGTTCCATAGGTTAAGGGCCACCACTGAGAAGGCCCTGTCTCTTCTCCCCATTAGTTATGCTTGCAAGGGGGTGTGACTGAGAGGAGGCCACCCCTGATGATCTTAACCTCCGTGGTGGGTCATCGAGGGAGATATGTTCAGATGGTAAGCTGGGCCGGAACCATTTAGGGCTTTATAGGCTAACGCCATTATTTTGAATTATGCTTGGAAGCAGACTGGCAGCCAGTGGAGCTCACATAACAGGGGAGTTGTATACTCCCTGTACGATCTTGGGCAAGCTGCATTTTCTCAGCCCCAGAGGAAAACAAATCCACTTTGACAAAACTACCAAGAAAACCCTGTGATGAATTCACTTTAGGGTTGCCATAAGTTGGAAACAACTTGCAAACAAACAAAAACAAGAACATTTCAACTCCATAAGTAACAGAAAAGTAACTTCTGCTAGATTCAAGCCATCCTTGTCCTATATGAAGCTAACTTAGGCAGAAAATACTGGATTCTCAAAAAAGTATTGTTACAGC